GCCACGGACTCTAGATCCACGGCGCGAGTGTTGACGGACAACTTGTTCGTCGAGAAAGCCTCAGGCCTCACGGACGCTGAAGTGCGTCAGGCAGTAAAGACGTGGCTTAGTGTAGAGGACGACCCAGAGGTGTTGGAGGAAGAAATAGCAATGGAACTGCAGGCTGTAGACGAGCAACTGGCCGGCGTAACCCTCGATGACGATGTACCCAGCGAAGAGGAAGACGACGACGGTAGGTCAGAGTCGTGCGTGACAACGTCGCTTACAGAGGCCGACGTCCGCTTTCGCCTCGAGGAGTGCCGCTCCTTTTTGAATGCGAAAGGGAAGGACGGCGAGTACAGCGAAACGCTGTACCTTCTTTCGAGGACTGTGCATTCGTTCACTCACGAAACTCAAGTCAACCGAAGAGCGAAGCAGGGGGGTGAGGTGCAGGCCACTCTTGGCGATATGTGGGGGCGATAGTTTTTTTTTTCGGAGGGCATACAGCGATGGGCTCTTTTTTTTTATTGCTTCATCTTCACCGATAATTTAGCGTTGATGTCCATCTGAGTTTCGTGTGTAGGGTGTTTGTGTCTCTATCGCTTAGGATATACTGAAGTATCGTGTCAAAGTTGGAACCGCTGTGGTGAAGGATGTGTCGGTGAGGTTTTCAACATCAGGAAAACGAGAAGAAAATAAAAACAACACAGCAGGCAGCAGTCGCCACACAACCGAGAGAGTGCACTGCAGTCATAACAAAACTATATCCCGCAACAACCCACATGTCGGGAGCATATTATTGCGGGCGGTGGCGCGGTAACTTAAAACATGGTTTATAATATATAAATATATATATAGTGCATTCCACTTTCAACCACGGCTACGTTGTGAGCGGTCAGATTTATGGATCCTCGTTTCGTTATAAGTTACGTGTTGCAACGGCGCGTCTTTTGATGTATGTTATGCCTCCATCGGCCCCGGGGGTGGTGCGTTATCGTCCCCGGAATCTTAAAGACGATTCCCCGCGTTAAAGACGCTTTGAAAAAAACGCTATGCGTCTTTAAAGCGGGGACGACTGTACTACTACGAAGAACAATGTTATGTGAACGATGCTAGAGCAGACATTTTCTTCAACTAATATGTTGTTGTGCTACTTCTCCTTCGTATTTTGCGCAATACTTTGTCCTAAAATGACGAATACTCTCCCTACTCAAATCGAAACTACGGAAGCCCTATATGTTTTTTTTCCCATGTATATATACCAACTTTCTCGCCGCAGGCACGGTCCGAACCCCTGGACTCCTGGTAGCACTAGCACCGATAATCTGGTTCGCCTCGTTTACGGTGATGGTCATCGTGGCAAAGTGGCTGGTGCTGGGCAGGCAGGCCCAAGGGTGCATACCGCTAGGCACGCACGTCTATCTTTCCTGGTGGTACACTAACACCATGCTCAGCGTGTGGGAGACGACCGGTGGGAGGTGGCTGCTCGACACGAAGCTGGCCATTCTCTTCTACAGGATGATGGGTGCCAAGGTGCAGAGCTAGCATTTTTGGCGCGCTGGTAGACGTCCCGACCGACGAGACGTTGCGGAACCATTTATCCAGCCTGCTGAACGTAGAAGTGACGCTAATTGTTGCCAAGAGCATCGTTGTGTTTTACACTCTGTATTCATGCAGTGCAACTCTACGAAACGGGCCTCACTCCCCCGTACCACCCAATTCCACAGGTGGCGTGGAGCGCTAGTGTGAAGGGATTCCTTCGCGAGTTCGATTCGATACACATCCGTGAGGGAGCTGAGGTGGCGGGCGAGCTCTACGCCCGCCGTTTCGAAGCGTCGTACATGCTTGTCATGCCTATTGTGATCGGCGAAGGAGCCACAGTTGCGAGTGGGGCCGTCGTGTACGGAGGAACGAATGTCGGCGAATACTGGTGAACATTGCTTTAATAGCTCGCGGATCTCCCTCGTTCCACACAAACTTGTGTTTGCCGTGACTATTCTCGTACTTGCGTTGGCTGGCCCCTGTTTTGAGGCAGTCAGACTTTCTTTGTGTGGTACATCAATCAACTGCCTCTGTAGGTCGCCTTCAATTTTGGTAGCAGCTACAGGCAATGCCCCGAAAGCCCTGCGTGCCTCCTGCTGGTCTGACAACCCCGTTAATCCTCTCGTCTGTACGCCCGTTCCGGTCTGAGCAGTGTCGTATCGCCACTCACCGTCATCCCTCCGTCCTCCAAGCTGGCGGTAAGTCCTACCGGGCCGATACGCCCGTCATCCCTCGTCTGGGCGGAGTATTGTTACACATTCTTAGCTGCAAGAACACAGTAGTTAAACGGTTGAAATCCGACTAGCTTGCTGCTGTGGTGGAAGCGCGTCCTGCGGTGATGGCCGAGTGTGGATGCCGTCGTGCCAAGGTGTTTGTACCTTGGTTGACTAATCAACATGCGTACCATGTGTTATAGAGTACGTGGGAATGACGGTTCGGTTCCGGATCTCAGCATGTATATTCCAGCCGACATACGTTGTGCCATCGTTGCCGTTCACGCCCTCCAGCGCAACTCCACCTGGGAGGGGCACCCGGCCAAGATGGTCGACAACGGGCTGGTGGACTCCGACGACACAAATTCTCGTCGGACGCCATGCACCTGTGACTTCGGCGCCCTTGCTCTTGAGGCGAGGCTGCAAATGTGTCATGTTTGGACTTGCGGGCTTGAGTACAGTACTGGTCCGTTCATAAGAAACGCGATGCTCAGATTAAACAAAATTAAGAAACGGTCGAGGCTCGACATTTGCTGCGACATAAGAAATACGTACCCCTCCACTAGCTGGCAGCTGGCGACCCCATGGTAGACCTACCAGCACAAATGTGCCCCCATGCGCAAGATGCGTGGAGGAGCTATTTTTACCCAACCCAACCCCAATTTTTGGCGCTGCGCGCGGCAAAAACGTCGTCGATTTGTGGCGTTTGCATACTTGTCTAACTCGCGACGGTAGAAGCAATGCCGTTGTATATACTCCGAAGTATATGGCATTAGTTGTCCTCTCCGTCGCCGAGTAAGAAAGTGCGACTAAGAAAGTGTGGTTGCTCGTTTGGAACGGATAAGAGACGCGGCCTGGGCCGAATGTTCCGTCTCTTATGATGGGCCTATCCTGTGGTGCTCCTGGCCTTTCCATCTTGCCCGCGTCTGTTGAGAATTGTTCTACGTACGCAAAATCGAAACGCTAAGCTACTTCATGGACGATCTGCTTCTCTTGCCCCCCCCGTGCACGTGTGTCCCTGTGCCCTTGCTTCATTCAGCTTGCCAAACAAGGATCAATTGTCTTCACCCTCGCGGCAGTGGTGTCGATGACCTACGCACCAACCATCCTGCACGAGTCCATGGGGATTTCGGATGCCTTCCGATACTCTTCTCTGGTCAGCATCATACTTGAAATTTTCGGAGTAGGGACGCAGCTCGCGCTTCTCACGATTCTTCTCAAGTGGGCTCTCGCAGGTGTGTGTGCGTGTGGGGGCACCGTCTTTTGGCCGTCGAAAATCGCAGGGAGAATACATCTTTACAGATGTCGAACATTGTGTCGCAAACGCTACGACTGAGCACACGCGCCTGTGTTCCTGTAGCTGTTTGCTGACAACGGCGATGTGTTTTTCAGGCCGCGCGGAGGGGATCTACCAGCCAACCGCCTTCCGCACCTGGCGCCGCTGGTACCTTGGCCGTCTCCACACTTTCGTACAGGCCTACTTCCTGGTATTCAATCGGTGAGCGGGTTCGTCCGACCCGGTTCGGAACGTACCTAGTGAGGATCCGTGGCCCAACTGGATTCCCACTTCACCTTGTACATACTTCAACGTCGTGCCTAAAGCTGAAGGAAAGAACAGTCGAGTCCTACTTATCCCGAAACACATGCGTTTTCACGGGAAATGTACATTAGAAACGAGGCTATCCCCGTTCTTGTGCTCGCGCTCAGGACGTGTCCGTCTCAGGACATCGCTTCATCCTGTGAGCGTGTGATGCCCGCCGTGCTTTTTTTCATCCGGGATATCGACAGGTTTCGTAGATACGACTGGTGGGGCGCGGCGCTCGGCATGAGCGTGGGCACAGGATCGGTGATTCTGCTGGCGTACAACCCAGAAGATGCGCACTTGTACAAGGTAACGACGTCCAGTGTCGTCACTCTGTGCTCTATCTGCAGCAAGCGGCCACAGGCCACGGTGATCGAACCGTGGTATTCAATCCGATCCACACCCGATCCTACGCCTGAATGTAATCCCGCTGTTCACGTGCGCCCACCGCCCGCCTGGCGTCTCCGCCCTTGCGCTTGGTCGCTTTGCCTGGACATACATGCGCAGGTCGGTGGTCATGCCCACCTCGCCAACCCTACCCTCTCGGCCGACCGTGCAACCGGGATCGGCTCCGAACGCGAGAAAAAAGCCATATCGATCGGGTCACGGGCGATGATTGGAGAAGGATCCTACCTAGGCGCGGGATCTACGGTTGGTAGCAGCTCTCTGGTAAGTACCTGGACGCCGGGGCGTTTCAACCACACCCCGCCAATTTTCGCCAAGCCTAGGTTCGGCGCGCGCATACATGGTTCCCGGGCCGTGTCATTTGCGTCGTGTGGTGGGGCGCTTTCAGTACGAAAGCTCGCTTGCGTTTGCCAACGAATTTTCAAACTGTTTCAACTGCTTCGCAGCTTGGTGGCTACGCGCTGGTGAGGCCCGGCGAGAAACTCGCCGACGGAAAGGCGACAATGTGTGACATCCACAGCGCTTATCAGCTTGGTGCTTTGGCGCCCTCTTCACCCCGAACGGACTCCCTTGGTGAGCTACGCCACACGGGTGCCTTGGCCTTGGGTAGGGTTAGCCGAATGCCAGGAAAACCAAAAAACGCTGCTTTTATGGAAAACCATTCCCTGTGACATGGTTCATCAGTATGTCTTACTTGACAATGTGCCACTGTCTTCCTTGGTTTGCTCTTTGCCCTTTTTGTGAAGACTCCCGAGGTTCCGCAGCGGAAAACTTTGTCGACGCCGCGTGCAGCCTCGGAGCCTGGCTTCTCAACGCCTTGGCGTTGGTGACAACATTGGAGGCAACCAAGTTTTGCGCCGAGTTTAGCCCCAGACATTCTACTGTTTCTACCGTTGTACTGTCAATGTTTGCCATCATGGCATGGGCGCTCAGCACGGCCGTGCTACTCGCGTTGTTCCGATGGACAATTGGAGGCAACTTGCACGTGGTACCTTCTACAGGTGTGTATGGAGGTTTGATAAAGTTGGCAGCGGCGGTGGATGGTAAGATTTGTGTTGGGGCGATGACTCTTCTCCTTGCCACAAACGAACATCCTACCCCTTTCCGTACTGTATCCTACCCATGATCCTTTATCCGCGACATCTGACTTTACACTCTGAGCAGAGGACTCCTCTACTACTGTAGGGCCTGGATCCAATCGCGACGTCGAAACCGGTTTGCGGATGCCGGGCCGGAAGAAAGCGAGCATAACACTAGGGGGGTGTCAGGTTATGCGATGGCGTTGGATGAGACGCGTTCTTTGCTTTTCGTTGTTCGAGCCGTTCGTCCTCGAGCCCTTGCTCAAGGGAACGTGGCTCCTCAATGCCTGGCTCAGGCTAATGGGGGCCGACGTGTCGATGGGCGCCATCATTTTGGGCAGGGTATCGGACTACGGCGGTGTTACGGTAAGACCGCGCTGACGAATGGCGAGAGGGGTTGGTGGGTAAGCGCTGTAGTATTGACTTGTAGGGTATAGTACTCACCTGGCGGCAAGGATCGCAGCGCGTCGTGGTACCGCCCTTTCGCGGATTTTCAATGAACGGACGCATTGTTGAACTTGAGAGCCTACTTTTGGCAAGTGCCTTGTTCTCAAGCAAGAGCTGCAACCGTTGGTGTGGTCGCTCCGAAAGTCTTTTCATATTTTCTCCTTACCCTTGCTGACGGTGAATCACAAATCTCACCAAGTGTACATATGCACAGTGCCCTTCACGCACGTCCAGTAGGATAGCCGTCGCTTGGAAGTGTTGGTATCGACAAGGTGGTTCACACCCACTTTCTTTTTTTTCGTCAATCAACTGCCCTTGTCCGCACGGCAGGTTTGCGATGGAGCGGTCGTGGCCGGCGTGGTCTACGGCCACGTGGCGACCTTTGTCGACGGAAAGTGGACAATGACAGTTGGCCCTTCTACTGTAGGTGTGTGAGCCACCGTACTTTGTCCAGTGTCTGTCTAGAGTCGGCACCTTTTTTTCCTGTGCCCGGGCGTTGAAATGACCCTGAGGTTGTTGTGCTGCACATGAAAATATCCCATTACGCATGTCATCATCCCATCGATCAACCGTGCTCGTTCGTCCTGTTTCTACCCTCGGCAACGTTCAGGTGAACGTGCAGTTGTGCACGAGCACGTTAGAATGTTCTGCGCGCACGCAGAAGCCGGTTCGACAATGACAGCCTGCAGCTCCTCGTTGAGCGGCCAGGTGTTGCAGGCCGGGCAGGTCTACGGGGGGCGGCCGTCCAAACCCCTCACAGGAAGCTGGGTCCTAGGTCGGGTGGCCGGAAGGGCCACGTCTCCGCATTAAAATATGGATATCTGACGTTTGGGTGTCCAAAGCGAAAAGAAAAAGTGCCTGCTCGCGTTGAGGAGGCCAGCAGCGCTGCGAGAGTCGAGTCCGGTGCGTCGTCTGTGCTCCTCGTGAAGGAGGACGTTTGTTCTTATTTCGCTCTCAACCATGCCTTCCTTCATTGCGCCGAAGCTTTCGCATTACACATTCCATAGGAACTGCTACAGTATCTAGCCGATCTCACGTGGAACGGTTCGCGGAAATCTCCACAAACCATTCCATGAACGGTTTTCCACACCTTCTATTTGTGATTCTTTGGATATGAGCCTGATCGGTGTGCCACGTCTCGGGGTCACATGTGTGTGGGCAGCATGAAGCTCAATCAACATTGAGAGCAAGCTATCACGTGTGCCCACAAGAACGCAGTACTTCGTAGATATATAATATGTGGGTATGGAGTGTGAGGGGGGCACGATTGGACCCCTGAGAGAGCGAGAGAAGGAGAGCGAGCTCGCACGCTCTGCCCACAGCACGTGGAAAAGATATTATCGCGCTTTTCATCGGCCGCTCGGAAAACATAGCACCCGACCTCAACACATCCGCTGGAGTTCAGTGGCACCTCGAACACCTTCCATAGATTCTTCTATCTTGGACTTTATTTTATTTTTTTTCGTTCGGTCAGGGAAACGATAAAAGGCTTGGTCGTTGTTTCACCGCAGACGGCGCCGGCAGACTAAAATAGTCTAAGGGGCGAGGATGCGAAGGTCTGGCGATGTCGTGACCGTGACCTTCCCGCATGCGTTGGTTTTTCATTTAGGCAACGTGTTCTCTGTTGGTATGTCCGTACATGGGAGAAGACACGCTTTAACTCTCTCTGATTAGGCACCCGCGGGAGCGAGGAAAGGAAGGGAAGAAGTGGCCCTCCCGAATTCCGGGAAGGGGGGCCCACACATAGTAGCCTTTTTCAGGCATACGCATGCCCCTGTCTACGTACCCCCCCGTGCTGCTAGCAGATCTACCATGCTCGTATCCAGACACACGAACACCCTCCCCGGTTCGTCAAGCTATTGACAAACCATCAGTGGGGCATGGATACTCCAGATCTACTTAAGTTACTCATACAACAACGGGTGCAAGGGAAAAAACTCGGCCATCCGGATCAAAAACCCTCGCCTACAAACTCAAAACATAAAAAAAAAAAACGTCGTTATCACGAAGGATTCCAACGGCCGCACTATCAGGGCAGGACCAAGGCAGGACAGATTGGACAGGCCACGCTGATTACACACCCGAAGCAATTGGTCAAAAACCCTAAGCTCCCGCCGCGGGTGATGCCCCTGCCCAACGCTTCCTGCGTGACATACCATGGTCCGAGACGCGCCCAGTGCTAGAACAAAACAAAACAAACGCCACGAAAGCGACACCAGAACCCTACATCGGCAGCTTCATCAGAGCCTTCCGGTGGTACTCCAACTTGCCCCTACCAAGGACCTTGGTCAGCATATCGGCGTGCTGCTCTTCTGTCGAGACATAACCTGCGGTGATCTTGCCCGCCTTGAGCTCGCGGATGAAGTGGAACCTCACGTCGATGTGCTTGCTCCTCGCCGAGCTGAAAGGGTTCTGCACCAACGCGAGAGCCCCCTCGTTGTCCTCACGGACCCTGATCGTGGCACCGCTCGTCTCGGGCGCAATGAACGACAGAACACCACGCACGAACAACGCTTCCTTCACGCCCTCCCCGGCTGCAATATACTCTGCCTCCGTGGTCGACTGAGCCGTCACTGGCTGTGTCTTCGTGGATGCGCACACTACGGTCCCATCTACAGTCACGGCTAGCCCCGTTGTCGAACGCCTGTCAACGACGGTGCTGTCGGCGTAACTAGAATCGACGAACACGTCTAGGTCTAGCCCTGATCAGCGGACGTAGGTAATCCCGAGGTCCTTCGTCTCGTTGAGGTAGGACATGATCCGCACAAGCGCGTTCCACATCCTCTCGGTGGGTGAGTGGGCGATCTTCTGCAGCTTGTTCAAAGGCAGCGCGAATTCCGGCCTCGTGAACAGCAACCACATCAGGCATCCGATCGCTTCCCTCACGGGCTTGTCCACCGAGGACTCGTCGTCTCTCTTCGGCCCTAGGTCATCGTCGACGACAGCGGGCGTGGGAGCAGTGGTCGTGACATTGAAGCGGTT